TATATATCGTAATATTATAAGAAAGAGATTGGCAGTAGTGAAACACTGCCAGGACAGTGGGGGACACATAACATCAGTAAGGGCTTTACCTGTATGATGACTGTTTATGTACCTAACCCTGAATTGTACCCCACATCTTTAAAATAAAAATAATTTTAACAAATAAATAATAAATAAATAAAAATAAATGAGTTAGTAAAATTTCAGAATACAAGATTATTATATAAAAATAAGTTCCATCTCTGTACACTAGTGACAAATGAAACAGAGGAATTTAAAAAGCATTGCCCTTTATAGTGGCATTAAAATTGTAAAATGTGTAGGAATAAATATCACCATATGCAAGATATATGACAACAACAAAACTTAGCTAAGAGAAATTATGCCCTAAATAAATGAAGTGACATACCATGTTTATGGATAGGAAGACTCAATATTGCTAAGATAATGACTGATTGATAAATTGATCTATAGATGTAACACTACCCCATTTAAAATCTCAAGAAGATTTTGTACAAAAGTTTGAATGAAAATGGAAAAAACTTAAATAGCAAAACTAATTTTTGAAATTAGAAGACAGCTTACTCTATGGACTTATTTTTAAAACATTAAACTACAATAATGAAGGCAATATAGAGTTAATAGAAAGATAGGCATATAGGTCAATGAAACAGAAGAAACTGAAAAATAAGTCCACAAATATATTATTAATTAAATTTTAACACTTTGACACAAGTGCTGAGATAAATCAATAGGAGAAGAAAAGAATAGATTTTCCACAACTAGTGCTAGAAAGCCTATACATCTTTATGAAAAAACAAAAACAACCCTTTATCTTTTCCTCATGATACACAAAAATTAACTGAAAATATAATTAGTAGAATTCATCTTTAAAGATGAATAGCAGGGCCAGGCTTGATGGCTCAGCCTGTAATCCCAGCACTTTGGGAGGTGGAGGCTAGTGAATTGCCTGAGTCCATGGTTTCGAGACCAGCCCAGACAATTTGGTAAGACCTCATCCCCACAATAAATAAAAAATTAGCTGGGTGTAGTAGCGTGTGCTCGTAGTTCTGGCTGCTTGGAAGGCTGAGGCAGAAGGATCGCCTGAGCCCCACTGGTTGATGCTGGGTGGCCATGTGTGTGCCACTGCACTCCAGCCTAGGTGACAGAATGAGATCTAACTCAAAAAAAAAAAAAAAAAGATAGCAGAAAAATGATTGCTGTGACTGAGATGGGGGAAAATTGAAGCAATGAGACATTAAAAATCTTTTTGGCATTGATTGAAATATTCTATATTTTTATTTTTGTGGTGGTAAAATTACTGCATATATTTGTCAAACACCCAGATTATATCCTTAAAATATTTATTTATATTATTTCCCATAAATTGCAGCTAAAAAGTTAACTTTAAAAAGTTGAAATTATGTGCAACTTTTGTACTCTTGTAAAATATATAATGGTGTTGTGGGTGTATCTTTTAAATTTGGCTAAATGAGGTTGTAATATAAATCTCATTTCTAAAATTTTTTTCATTGAATAACTTTTTCCACAATCTACCCTGTCTCTGTGTTTGTTGTTTATTTTGCCTGTGTAATTAATTTATAGGAATAAAATACTGAGGCTTTTATCATGTTTTTTAAAAAGTTTATTTCTCTAATTATATTCCTTTTATCTTTTCTAATATTGTTTATTTGTGCCATCCCCAGTAAAAAAAAATCTCAAATTGATAAATTTATCTTTTTATTATCTTCTCCTGAAACTTTTGTTTCTCTTGTTATTTTTTTCTCAGATTATTTATTTATTTTGAGATTACTTCAATTTCTTGGTTCCATTTCTTACACTCTTAGGTAAACAATGTAGTTAAGTTTTATTTTATATATATATAATTTTTTTTTGAGTAGTCTTACTCTGTTGCCCAAGCTGCAGTGCAGTGGCATGTTCACGGCCACTGCTGCCTTGACCTGCTGAGTTCAGGTGATCCTTCTGCTTAGACTTCCAAGGAACTGGAACCACAGTGTGCCAACATACCCAGCAAATTTTTTTATTTATTATAGAGATAAGGTCTCACCAAGTTGCCCAGGATGGTCTTGAACGTCTGGACTTAGGCAATTCTTTCATCTCCACCTCCCAAAGTGTTGAGATTACAGACATGAGCCACCATTCCCAGCTGCTAGAATTTTTAATGATATAAAATTTTCTCTGAAAATACATACAAGTTTAGCTTATAGTTATAAGTGGTATTTACATTATTGTATTTAAGAAATAATGACCATTAACATAAAAATCAAGCTGCTTTTATATTTGTCATATAACTATACTAAATAACTCTAGTCAAATCAAAATTACCTTTAGAATTCTACCTCACTACTGATAAACTAGACATATACCATTTCAATTAACATTGATATTATGATGAAGTGGTAATTATAATTCTCATTTGTGAGTGCTGATGTGAATTTACATAATTTGAAATTCTGTTCCTGGTTGTCACTGACATGAATTTATGTCTTTGTAAATTCTGTTACTGAATGCTGCAATATTGTTATATTTATGCATTGTTATTATATTTTGCTTGAAAATGAATATGAGGCAAGGAGAGAAGTTAATTGAGATAATTATCTAATATAGACTTTGCAGTGTTGTTATTGATTTACATAGTTGGTAAAAATTTCAAGTTGGTTATTATTTTGTTGTGATTAGTGTTGTATACTTGCATTTTGATGTTTCAGGACTTTCATACTTCAATGCTAAAAATAATTTACCAAAATTATGGAAAATGAGGAAATATATGCTGATGAGATTTCCAAGTTTTTTTTTTCAGTGTTAATTTCTCTCTTTTGAATAAATTTTTATTTTAAAATTGTGGGGGTACAATTCAGGGTTAGATATGCAAATATTCATTGTGCAGTTACCCTTGTTGATGAGGTGTGCTCCCCTTCCCCAGGCAGATATCGACTACTGTCAATCCCACCTCCCCGCCCACCCCCCCTCCCCGCAGTTTCCCACTACTGTCAATCCTTTTCTTATAGTCTTACAGTAGTTGTTCAAGGTCCGCTTGTGAGAGCATGTGATACTCAGATCTTTATTTCTGTGAAAGAATACTCAGTATTGTAAACTCTAATTCCATCCAGGTTGCTACAAAGTTCATGATTTTGCTCTTTATGGCTGCGTAATATTCCGTTGTGTTTATGTACCACATACTTTTTATCCAGTCCTCTTTTGATGGGCAACACAGTTGGTTCCATGTTCTTGCTATTGTGAACAATGCTGTGGTAAACATACTTGTGCAGGTATCTTTTTTTATAGAGTCCAAGGTTGAAGGTGAATCCAGTAAACTTAATGATAATGAGATAGATAGTGATATATGATGCAATGTAAATGAAGAAATATATATAGTATATATATACTAGATATTAGGTCTATAATCTGAATAAAAACACAAAGTATGGAATGCTAGTCAGAGTGTTGTCTGAGGCAAATATTGGATATGTCTGCAACTTTCAGTTGTTTTATGAATAACATGACAATTTAGAAAAGACCATTTTACTTGTGCTTAATGACAGAAGTTTGCAGCAACCAGTTTCAGATTTTTTAAATTTTTGCCCACTCTCAGTATTAGAAAAACGAAAAATTTGCTGATTGTGAATGTGTTAAAAAGCTCGGCTCGGTGGCTCAGCCTCTAATTCCGCGCCTGTGGGAGACTGAGGTGAGTGGATTGCCTGAGCCCGCGGGTTCGAGACCCGTCCGGGCAACTTGGCGAGACCTCATCTCAACAATAAATCAAAAAATCAGCCGGGCATGGTAGCATGTGCTTGTAATTCCGGCTACTCAGAAGACTGAGGCAGAAGGATCGCCGGAGCCCAGCAGGACAAGGTTGCAGTGACAGTGGCCGGGAGTGGCCACTGCACTCCAGTCTGGGCGACAGAGTGAGACACCAACTAAAAAAAAAAAAAAAAAAGAAAAAAAGAAAAGAAAAGAAAATACAATAAAAATATCAAACTCACATGTTAGACTCATAAACGGTGCCAAAACAATGTGTACACATTTTAAGAGATGTCATCTATGTATTACTTTTTGAAACTGAATTAAATTATAGTAGTAATATATAGTATGACATTCACCCAACCTTGCTTCTGTCATTTTCTTTGGCTGTCCTGCCTGTCCCATGGTGACTCTAGCATTCATTCGATTAACGCCATCTTATGAGTGAATGCCATACTTAAAATGTGTATACATTTTTTTGACATCCTCGTAGATTAAAAATTTACTAAGAACTTTTCTCAAAATATAATTTTATCCACATTTAATGTGAACAAAAAGGTAATCTCTTAAGTAGCCACAGATTACTAAGCTGATAATTAAAGAAAGATAATCACAATTTATTTTGATGAAAGAGGAAAGAAGTTCAAATATATTTTGGGTGTAATTCTGGAAATGTAAACAGTTTATATAAATGTTGAATTAAACATAAAGAAAGTCTTTCCAGTATTTTCTGTGTATATGGGTCTATTTTCTGAAGTTGGCAGGAAAATCAAGAAGGAAAAGAACAACTTCTTGACAGTAACTGTCCTTTTATCCATTAGCAGCAACGAGCCTCAAGTGGAGTGGGAAGAAGGTGAACCCAGTTTGACAATATATGGGAAAGCCTGATTTAAGAGAGAAAAATGTCCTGCTTTCAGATAAGGTTCACCTTTAAGGGATTCAAACATTCTCTTCAGAAGCTACTTGTGATGAGATGCCTTTCAATTCATTATTGAAAAAATGGATCATTCTTATAATTTGAGTCATTAGTTCACCTTGTTCTGAGTGCTAAACCTGTCTTTGCAGAGTTCTTAATATCAGGAAATTACATTCTCCTTAAATTCTAAGCTGATTCTCTTCAGTTTTTCATAATTTTCCTCTCGGCTTTATATTTCAAATGACTATATAGATTGTTATTCTCTAAGGATGACATGATTTTTTTTAATAGACTCTATCTTTTTTTTGTGTGTGTGTGTGTGTGTTTTAAAAAAGTGACATTGTTTTATTACTACCCGCGAGAGGGGCTTGCATGGGGTGGCGGGTATGCTGGGCTCAGGGGATGTGTGAGCTGTGAGAAGGAGGTGATGACAGAGGCTGGAAGGAAAGGGGTGGGTTTGGAGGCCAGGTCCAAGGGGTCCTCAGATCCGCTTCGAGGCATGGGCAGCCTTGAGAAATGAGTCATGGCAAGCCACAGCCAAGCCGCCAATCAGATTAAGAAATTCTTGGAAATCTAGCTGCCCATCGCTGTTGATGTCCAGTTTCTTCATCATGCGGTCAAGGACACCAGGGTCCTGATTCTTTGTAAAGGCAGCCAGTTCCGTATTCATGAAATTTCGGAACTCCATCTTGGACAGAGTGCAGTTGTTTCCATCCTTTCCAGCATACTTCTGGAAGACAGCAATCAGGGACTCGATGCACCGCTCGGTCTCTGTAGGGCTGGAGATTTTTGCCATGTCGGAGCTGAGCGAGGCGCGGGAGGCCGTGGCTGCGAGCGGCTAGACTCTATCTTTAAAGCAGTTTTTGGTTCACAGGTACAGAGGCTTTCTATGTACCCTTTTGGTCCCACATATGCACAGTATCTCTTATCATCAATATTTCCTGCCAAAATGGTACAATTGTTACAGTTAATAAACCTACATTGACACGTAATTGTCACCCTGATTCCTTAGTTTACATTAGCATTTACTTGATGCTGCGTCTTCTATGGGCTTGGAAAAATGTATAAGGACATGTGTTTACTATTATAATATCATTCATAATAACTTCATGATTTGAAATCCTCTATACTGTGCCTGTTTATTTCTCTCTCTTGTTGACCCTTGGAAAGCACTATTTTCACTGTTTCATGACTTTGCCTGTTATATGATGTCATATTAAATTATACTGTACGTAGGTTTTCTTATAGGTTTCTTCCACTTAAAAATATGCAGTTAAGTTGCCTCTATGCATTTTCATTACTAGATAGCTCATTTCTTTTTGGTGATTGTATAATATTCTATAGTCTAGATGTACCACAATTTACTTATCTATTTATCTTTTGAAGGACATCTTGGTTTTTCATTGCTAGATAGCTCATTTCTTTTTGGTGGTATATAATATTTTATTATCTGAAAGTACCACAGTTTACTTATCTATTTACTTTTTGAAGGGGTTTTTAGCAATTATAAATAAACCTGCTATAAATAGTCACGTGCAGATTTTTTGTGTGAACATGGATTTTCCACTCCTTTGAGCAAGTGTCAAGGGGCACAAATGCTGGATCATATAGTAAACACATGTTTAGTTTTATAAGAAACCAGCAGTGTCTTCCAAAATGAGAGTACCGTTTTGCAGTTTCACCAGCAATGAATGACTATTCCAGTTGGTCGACATTCTTGCCAGAGTTTTTGGGCTGTCAGTGTTTTGGTTTTGACGACTAAAATAAAGGTGTCTAAGTGGTGTCTTGTTGTTCTCTTAATTTTCATTTCTCTGATGACATATGATATGGAGAAGTTTTTCATATGCTTATTATGAATACAACAAATATATATATTCTGTAAGTCTTCTTAAGTCAATTGTCTGTTAAGGTCCTTGACCAAATTTTTAATTGGACTCTTTGTGTTCTTATTGTTGAGTTTTAAAAAGAGTCCATTGTATATTTGTGATGACAGTCTTTTACTGATCTATATTTTCATTATCTTTACAACATCTTTCACAGAACAGAAATCTTTAATTTTAATGAGGTTAAACTTGTCAAAAGAGACTTTTCTCTTTTATATAAAATAATCTTTTGACTGACTGGGAAAGTCTTGTCCTTTGCTGTTGCAACTGAAAAAAAAAATCAACAAACCCACTATTGTCTAGATTTTTCTGTTATGCTATCTTTTAGGATTTTTACAGTTGGTCATTTTATATATAGCCCTTTGATCCATTTTAAGTTAATTTTTGTTAAAGGTGTAAGATCTGTGTCTATACTCAAATATATGTATTTCTGCATTGGATGTCCAATTGTTCCAGAACTCATTTGTTGGAAAGACTAGCATTTTATCATTGTATTGTCTTTACTTTTTTCTTAAAGATCAATTGATTCTATGTATATGGGTCTATTTCTGAGCTCTCTATTCTGTTTCATTTATCTATTTGTCTGTTCTTATACTAATACTTCTCTTTCTTGATTACTGTAGTCTTGAAATCAGATAGTGTCCATCCTTCAACTTTATTCTTCAATATTTTGTTGACTATTCTGGATCTTTTACTTCTCAACAAAATTTTTAGAATACAGTTTGTCAATGTCCACAATATCCACAAAATAACTTGCTAGAATTTTGATTGAGATTGTATAAACTAAGATGGAAGAAATACTGAGTCACTCTATTCAAAATATGGAATATACATGCATTGATTTAGTTTTTAATTTTTATCAGTATTTTACAGTTTTTCTCATCTAAATTTTGTCCATATTTTATTAGATTAATACTCAAGTATTTCATTTGTCATGAATGGTATTTTATTTTTAATTTCAAAATCTATTCGATTATTGCTGATACACATGAAAGTGATTGACTTTTGATATTAATCTTATATCCTGCAGCACTGCCATAATTTCTTAATTTTGGAAGTTTTTTGTCTATTATTTTGGGTTATTTACATGAATGATTATGTCATCTGTGAACAAAGACAATTTTTTCCTGGTCTGTATATTTATTTTTCTTTTTATTGTCTTCTTGCATGAACCAGAACCCTTTTTATTATACTCTTTGAATAGACCTAAGTTCAACAGTTTTTAGATTTCCATTGAATTAGTTCAAAAAATTTGAAAAGACTGGTTTTTATTCTCTTTTATATGAAAATAAGCTTCCAAGTGACTGGAAAAGCCTTAATTCAAAATTCAGAAAGCCATGTAAATGCTAAGCTGGAGCCTGTGCAGCATCATGTTCAGCTTTCCAAGGATCTTAACAGAATCAAACTCAGCAGTAGTTCATAGCTTTTCCATGCTGCTGAAGCTCACTCTACAGCTCCACCTAGTAGTTTTGTCTCCAGTAAACCAAACAAACTGGAGATATTTGAGAATTTTTCCTGTAACCCAATCTACCTGAGATCCAGGACAGATCATTAGTGAAATGGTCAAATGGAAGAACACCTACAGTAAGGAATTCACAGATTCTCATGCTTAGCTAGTATTCCTTCTTTTTTCTCTTTTTGTCCTAATTTTTAAAATTTAAATGTTTATATTTTTTTAAATAAAATATATTACAAAAGCAATTATATTCTAGTTATATGTATTTATAATTTATAATGTAGGATATATTATAAATTATATAATTAAAAATTTGCTAGAAAAAATTAGAAGGTGAAAAGAATAGTATTGTCAAACCCCACATTCAACATTGGTTGACATTGTCCCAGGCTTTTATTTCTCTTCTCTTTGCAACCTCTCTCTCTCTCTATACACACACACACATTATCTCCTAAATAATTTCAAAATAAATTACAAATATTGACACTTTCTATACACTCTCTACACACACACACACACACACACACACACACACACACAAACACACACACATTATCTCCTAAATCATTTCGAAATAAATTACAAATATTGACACCTTCTATAAAACATGAAGTGACCTTCCTGAATTATAATACAAAATTTTCTTAATATAAGCTAATATTCAGTCTATATTCAAATTCTATGATATATTTATTATTATTATTACTATTTTTTTTTGAGTTGGAGTCTCACTCTGTCACCCAGACTGGAGTGCAGTGGCCGCTCCCGGCCACCGCAGCCTCTACCTGCTGGGCTCTGGCGATCCGTCCGCCTCAGCCTTCCAAGTAGCCAGAATTACAGGCATGTGCTACCACGCCCGGCTGATTTTTTGATTTATTGTAGAGATGAGGTCTCACTGCCCAGGCGGGTCTCGAACCCGCGGGCTCAGGCAATCCAGTCACCTCAGCCTCCCAAGTTGCGGGATTACAGGCTGAGCCACCGAACCCGGCGATACCACATTTTCTTTATGAAGTCAATCATTGATTGGCCCCCAAAAATAAATAATGAAGAAAGGACACCTTATTCGGTAAATGGTGCTGAGAAAATTGACTAGGCATATGCAGAAAAATTAAATTAGACCTCTACTTCTCATATATAAAAAAATTAACTCAAGATGGATGAAAGACTTAAACGTTAAGACCTGAAACTATATCTCTTGACTCTCTCTTTCTTCGCATATTTTTATTGAGGTATCATGTACATACTCTTGAATCTTCTTTAGTTGAAACAGGACTCATCTATTATTTTCACAAATTTTGTTGTCATTGAGACGAGATATATATACAGCAAGGAGTACAGTGAAACTGTTAATGAACTAAAGACAGAGAATTAAAATTCCGAGTAAGAAAACGAAACTCAAGACAGTATATTCACCAATGCCAAGGTTAAAGGGTATTTCCAAATCATTGACAAAGGATGAATAATCAACTAAGAAGAGTAATAAAAATGTGCCAACTGAATGTGCAATCCCGAAGGCAAATCTTGAAAGACTGTTTCTGCTGTGCCTTTCTGGGATAATTCATACTAACATGGTTTGTAATACAGTAGGAGGTGACAAAATAAAAACCAAACTCAGTCATCTTTGCTTATTTACCATTAACCCAGAGGTTTGTTTCCTGAGATAGAAGAAAATCTGCACGATGACAAGTCTACCTTCTGTACCCTGATTATCATCCACCCACCTTTGCAAACACACATCCCAAAAAGAAAACTTCCCTTATCTCTCCGAAAATAGCATATGCTAGAGTATTAACTGGTGCAACTAGAATTGTTTTCTACCATTCTAACATGGAATATTAATTATCAGACATTACCCTTGATTTCAAAAAACCTATTGCATAAATATAAAGCAGAAAATTCTGAGGAAAAAAGTTTTTTTAATATCTTAATATTATTTTACATAGTAAAGCCTCCTGTGACCTTCAGGCAGAGAAAAATATCATATTTGATAATTGATGCTATTTTCCAATTTCTTGTAAATAGTTTACTGTTATATTATTTCCCTATAACAACCTAATTATCTTTGGTATTTTACTAAGCTCTCTCCAAAACTAAGATGTTAATCAAGACTTGGATGGAAAAATGATGTAAATCCTTATGTTCAACACCATGAATATCTGGTTTATTTCTCTATAATGACTTAAAAGATCTTACCCACAGGCTTTAGACCAGAATTAGTATAATCATCCATTTTTCAGGTCTGATGTGTAGCAACCCAGTCTTCAGTATTAATGATGCTGCTATAAAAAGAAGTTTTTAAAACCAGTAATAGGGTTTATAATATTAATGAACAAATTCTCTTCTCATTTGTATTTCTAAAGTTCCAGTGGTGTTCCTGTTTATCCATTTATTTTTCCAAACCAAGTTAAAACTATCATGCATTGCTTAACATTGGGGATGTTTCTATAAATGTGTCATTAAGCAATTTTGTCATTGTGTGAACGTCATAGACTGCTTTTACACAAA